TTGACTTACTCCCTCCACTAGGGTATTGAATTGGTTATGCTATGGTCACTATTATGGAGTGGCTTACCTAGATACCTCTTGAGCCAGGACCTGTGTACTACTCAGGATTAGGCACAGAGTTCCTTCTCCTGTTGTGTGTTGCAAGACAAGTTATTCTAGAAAGCAGTAATTTGTTATACCCACAAATTTTATCTCCAAATCTCACCCTCATGAGGTGTTTTATCTAGTTAATATGAGGGTAGTTGAAGCCTCCCACTATTATTGCCTATCCTACTTTTACAGCTTCTCTAATTTCCCTCAGCATTTCATAACTACCTTCACTCTCCTCATTAGGTGGTTGGTAGTACAATCTTAGTACTATGTTTTTTTATATTCAAGTATGAAATTACTACCCACACAGGTTCTATGCTACCATATGTAGCCAAATCCAAGATGACTTTGAATTTAAGGTGACCCCCAATAATTAGATTCTATACATGGACAATTATAAATTAGTTATAGTTTTCTATGCATAGAATCTAATTATATTGGAGGGTTGTCTTAAATTCTTCCCTTCCCTCCACTGCTGTTGCAAGGAAACCAGCAGCAGGGGGACAAGCAGTGGGGAATGAAATGGGGGGGCGGGGAGGGGCAGGCAACCTGCCCCTTGCATACTCCAACTGGTGTCTGCCCCTCCTCCAGCCCCCAGCCACCTGCCCCCTGGGTGTGTGCCCCTTTGGCTCTGACTCTGACTTGGAGCACGGAGCATATGGTGGCTTCAGCCCTGGTTGTGTATCAGTGACAGCGGTAGCTTTTAGAGTCATGGAGATGTAGGACTGTAAGGGACCTCCAGAGGCCATCTAGTCCAACCCCCTGCCTCAGGCAGGATCATCCCTAGGCAAATCATCCCATACAAACCATAAGCTAAACTCTACATAAGATTGCCATCAACCCTGACACAACATAGACCTAACACTCTAACCTTCCATAAGAAAAGCAGGGGAACCACAGCAGCCAATGTCCTGCTTCTATGACATGTTATCCATATATGCTCAAGTGATCCTGGATAGAGGGTCATGCCCCCCACTACAGGGAAGGCAAAAACCCCCACAATGCATACCAATCTGACTATGGGGTAAAATTCCTTCCAGTTCCTGAATATGAAGATTGGTCTGACCCTGAGCACAGGGGCAAGGTCCTCTAGCCAGGGACCTCCAGGTTTAAGTCCCGGCAGGGGTATTGGCACACCTCAGTCAAAATCCCCAGCTTTGTCTGCAGCCAATGCCTCTGAGGAGGGCTTAAAAAAATCTTGACGCATGTAGCAGGAAGAGAAGGGGGGAGCGCAAAATTCCCTCCCAGCCCTATGTAGTAACCAGCAAAATCCAGAAGCATGGGAAATACCTATAGTGGAACCAGTGGCTGTTCAACCTCTTCTTGAGCACTTCCACTGATGGAGAGTCCACAACTTCCTTCGGCAGTCAATTCCACTGCCTCACTGTTCTGCCAGTGAAGAAGTTTTTCCAGATATCCAATCTAAACCTACTTTGCTGCAACTTCAAGCCAGTGGTCTATGCCCCACTCCCTGCAGCAACGTGTTTTCCCTCTTCATTATGGCAGCACTTCAGGTATGTGAAGATTGCTATCATGTCACCTCTTAAGCACCTTTTCTGCAAGCTGAACATGCCTAGCTCCTTCAACCTTATATCCAGCTGCAGGTACTTCTGCGCAGTGTCTTTCAGTTGTCATGCCAATGTCTGGGTTACTGTGCTATATCCATTTTTCTTTCTCAGAATCTTTGCTTGTATGTCTCCTTAGATATTTTGAGATGGTTTAGGATAGCCTTCTTTACTTCTGGGGCCTCTTCTCAGGTAGTGCTTGATCAGTGGCCTGAGCCTCTCCAATTAACAAGGGTCTAGTTCTGATGGAGGACATTGCAACTCCATCAAGCTGCCATGGTGGCCTTCTCAAATAGTTTGGGAAAAGACTCTGGGTTGTCATCCTTTGTCATTTTTCAGGGACAAATCCCGGCAACTCTGGCAGGGAGCAGCAGCTTTGCCCTCTCTCAGTCCTTTCTTGCAATGTTCACATTAATTATTGTTGTTGTCTCAGGACGTCTAATTGAGCTGTTCCTTGTTCATGATGCAGACCCATCTATTCTCCATTTTCCCACATAAGCCTTATATTTCTTGTAATAGGAGGTCTAAAGTCCTTTGTGCGGGTTCTCTGTTGGCCTTTCGCTGTTCAGTTGTTACTATGCCAGGAGGTGTACTAGTTGCTCCATGGTCTCATGGCCCTCAGCATTCTTCGTATCTACTGCTGTCTTCCCTGCCAGTATACCAAATGCAGTGGCTTGCACCTTCTCCTTGCTCAAGATGGGATGCTATCTGCACTCTCTGCACTCTAGCCTTCCCTCCTCCCCAGGGATTCCTTTATCTCGCCTGCCACATTTTGCTCTAATTCAGTGTGCAGGTGTCTGAAGAGAAGAACAGATTAGTCAACAGGACATGAGGTTTTATTGGGTCTACTGGTACTTGCTTCTTCAGTTTGGACTTTCTGCCCAGTGTCCTTTAATTCTTGTTGCCAATCTCTATTGGACTTTTTCCCACCTGGTAAGCCTGCCCAGGCCAATCCCCTCTTCTTCATGCTTCTTAATCCTTCTGGATAGGCCCAGCACCAAGATGGCTTTCCTTGTGGCCTATTAGGCCTCCCTAAGTTTTACCCCAGACTCATCAACAGGCAATTCCCCTGGGTTTCTATTCCTCCAGCAGGAGCTCTGTCCTTCTCACCAGAGGAAAGTCCTTCTGCCCCCCTCTATCCCCACCCCACTTCACTGCTGCGAACCTTCCCTTATATTTCTCTCTAGGGTATGGCCTCCAGCCTGCCTTGTTCTTCTTAAAGAGCTCTGCCCCTTCTCCCTTGTAATGGGGATGAAAGTTGCCGTGTTAAAATGGCCCAGGGGGGCCTCTTCCAGTCCTTTGTACAGTTGGGTCCGGATGGAGGCTTGAGCTAGGATTGTGTATTGAATAGAGAGCTAGCTGAGGACAGGTATGTAACAACCAGTGCACATCTGGTTAAGACATGTCAGATGGAGGACATGTCCAGTATGGTACAGGTATTTCTCACCATGGCTAATAGAACATCAGGTACTTTTTTAGGCTCTTACTTCTGAACTTTGTGCTCACCATGTCCTAACAGTGATCTCAGACAAGGTAGAACAGCCTCTTAGTCTAACAGTCTTTTCTCTCTGCCTTCCATTCATCTCCAACAGAAATGTCTCTAGGCAAAACACAAGCAGTCTGACTATCTAAAGAATGAAACATCAGTTCATACTCTCCCCTTAAGCAATTCTTCTCATTCATTCTTTCACTGCTTTATAGAGGATGAGGTCACAGGTATTCTGGTGTTTATCACCAGTGTAAAGTCTGGCAAAACATTGGCTTTGAAAGAATAATCAGCAAAGCTCAAGAAAGAGGCTTAAAGGTGACAGAGCTAACTTCATGCTTGACCTGTTGCTTTCCTTTTTCCGTGTCCTTTTGACAAGGTATTTAGCAGAAGTCACAGATTTTCTTTGGAATCTGACAGGGCTGTGCTGCAAGTGCTTTTGCTATAGCCTCAAACTCGCAACCTGTGGGCTGTCAACCACACACCTTAGCACCCTCAGCAATCCAGCCCCATGCTCAGCCTGTAAGGAGCAGGAACTGATTCCAGCAGGCTTCCTTTTCAGACACAGTCCTTCACATGGGCACTGCATGCTTGAAGAGCTGACTAAGCTGGCTCTGATGATAATGTGTGCAGCCAAGCAGAACTGTTCTAGGGCAGAGCAGATTGAGCAAAGCCAAGAAAATACAAGTAAAGGAAAAGGGCAACTGCATGGCACTTTTACAGAAGTTAACTTTCACATATGGAAGTGTATGTGTCTTGGACCAGAATCTAATCTCTCTTGCCCTAGTGTATTTTTGAAGTGGTACCACTGAAGTCAGTAGAGTTGCTGCAAGTTAGTGCTCCAGCTTGTTCGGTGCTTAGCACTGCTACCAAGATTGAGCAAAGAATGTAAGGGTGTGACTGTTCTGCTGAATATGATAGATGTGATTCTCAGTTACAGTAAAGCCATATTGATACAGCAAACAGCATACTGGGGAACTTAAGCATGCTACATGGGCAGGCTGTCTAGTAGCATAACTAGGGGGCCAAGAGAAGCAAACTTGGAGGGGGTGCCAGAATGGCCCCCAGCTCCACTAGTTTTTGCCATAGCAGAAACAGCCCTGCACCATCTGGTCAGAGGATCTGGGTACAGGTCAGGAACACCTTCCTTTCCCTTTTTTCCTTTCCCCACTACACCTTGCTCTCCAGAGCTCAGTATACCAACCTAACCCCCCTCTCTGAGCACAAGGGAGTTTGCCTGGGGCAGGAAAGTCATTAATTACACCTCTTCTTTTCTCATATACTTCATTTCCCCCTCTACGCTTCATTAATGTGGCAGAGCCACACAACGGCTTTATCTTTGATGCTTGCCAGGTCCTCATCCTGGGTGTGCTGGAGTGCTGCCAGTTTCAACCCACCTAGTTTCACTTCTGAGGCTGCCCCTTGAACTGCAAGCTGTGTAGCTGCATCTGTACATTGCTGTGTGTGGGCTAATTTAAACTGTCACTCAGCAGTGCTCATTTGCCTGCCTGTAGTGCTACACAGACACAACTACAGTTTTTGCAGTTCAGTAAGTAGCTTGTCCGGAGCAGTCCAGCATGGTGGAGGGCATTGCTGCCTGGCAGGGTAGATGTGCCCTAAATCCCCTGTGGATTACATAGGCAGGTAAAGTAGGATTAAGCTACGCTGAAAATGTAGTGTAAATCAGACCCAGTGAGTTTTAAGTTAAGCATGTGCCTAATTGCTTTGCTGAACTAAGGCAAGGATGCTCCACACCTTGCAGGATTGAACCATGAGAGTATTTGATCCCTTGTCTCCACGAATCATCTATCCTTTATTCCTGCTTTTAACCTGATTCATTCCATGTTTCATTTGCAGAAAAGGACATTGTTTCAATGGCTGATTCCACCACAACCATTGATGACATAGAAGGGGAGCTCTTTAAAATTGAGAGAATAAGAGAGGTCCTCGTGCGAAGGGAGTCAGAGCTGAGATACATGTGAGTAGAGCACTAGTTTCTGTCTGTGTGTGTGTGTGTGTGTGTGTGTGTGTGTGCACCTTCCAGTGAGTGGGGCTATTCAATGATACCTTTGTCTCCTGTTGCTGCCTGCTGTTATGCTTGAAGAGCATTCAGTTAAGCCTTTGCTAGTATTATAAAGATGGCTGCCCTGTGGCTTTCTGCCTGATCTCATTGAGACAAATCCCTGCAATATACAGAGCTGGTGCCGAGGACAGGAGTCCAGTGAACAGGATGCTGCCATGTCTTCATCCTGAACTGTTAAGTGCTGATTGCTGCCGGAGGAGCCCAGCCCAAGGGGTTCCTTCCCAGGAGATGCTCAGAAAAGCTTCTCCCCAACATGGTGACCTTGGACTGCAGAGAAGCATTTGGTAGGGCCAGGCCATCATCCTGGAATGTCTATGCCTCCGTCTTCTACCTGGAGGTCAATCAGATTACTGAGCTTAACCGAAAGTGTGCCATGCTACTGACTGTCATTGGCTCAGATGCTTTTGATATTGTGTACTCACAATGTCCCCAGCAAAACCCCATGACAAGTCAAACACTGAAATCCTCACACTACTAAATAATCATCTCACACTGACTCCACCTGAAACAGTTAGACAGTTCCATTTCAACCAGTGCAGTCAGCTGCCAGATGAAAGGATTGCAGCATATACAGGTGAGTTGAATTGTTTGTCCAAGAATTATATTTATGGTACAAGTCTTGAATCTCAACTGGGAATCAGCTTGTGTGTGGGATTCAGGATGAAGCCCTACTGCAGCAGACTCCTTTCAAAGCAAAACTTAACATCCACCAATGCTTAGGAAGAAACACTTAACAAGGCTGAATCTCACTGTTTAAAGCTTGTCTGCAAAACTGATATCAACTGAGACTCAGCAAGTGCAATTCAAAGGGAGTTCACTAAAGGAGCCACCATCAGCACATAACATAGTAAATTCTTCAACTCTGGGAAGCTGCCAAAGCTGTGGTGAGAGCCACAGATGCAACACATACCATGTCCGTGATGCCAAATGCTGTCATTACAAATACAAGTATCACATTAAATGTGTGTGTTGTCAGAAGTTCACGCTATCCAAAAAGAAGTGAAACAAGCAGGGTATGCTTTGAGCTGCCACAAGTACTGTTGTTGATCTAAATGGAATTTCAGCCTGATGTTTGCCAACAGCATGGCAATACCGCCCATACAGAAGAAGATGACCTACACTATACTCCAAGTTGTTCCATGTGTCATGAAGGCAGACTCAGATCTGCATTTGCTGTAATTTCAAACAAGACATAGAAATTCTGTGGCCTCAAAATCATGTTCCTTTTGTTCCATGAGAAGCAGGACTTGCTGAGTCCAGTAAACAAGCAGTTGAATTGAAAGGAGAATGTTATGTAAATAATCTCTATGGCAGTGGTCACCAACCGGTCGATCCCGATCAACTGGTTGATCAGGGAGCCTCTGACAGCCTCTGAGATAGACTATCAGAGGCTTCGTGATCGGGAGCAGCCAGAATGCAGTCCGGGAGCAGCAGGACATAGGAGCAGCAAGACCCATGTGGCTGGGCTGAGCTGCACCCCCTGCTCCTGGGGCCGAGCTGCATGAGTGGGACGATCCCCCTCCGTGCCCCCTGCCACCAGGTGAATGGGGTCCTGGCCGGGCCGGGCCAGGCCAAGGGAGGGTCAGAGCCTGGGTAGCTCGTCCAGGCATGCAGGGGGGCTCCCGCCACTGCATGCACCCCAGCAGAGGTCTGGGGGGCATGTTGCCCCCAATCTGTGCACAGAGCGAGGCGGCTGCTGCTGTGCACTGGGCTTTGTGCCCCAAGCCCCGCTGCAGTTTGTGGTGTGAAGCCTGGGGTGAAAGCCCAGCACGCAGTGGCAGCAGACCTGTTGACCAGATCTGAAATCAAATTCCAGGTGATGTACCATCTACAGTTGCAGAAGACATTGTACCGTCAACAGGTTTTATGAGTCCATCAGTTCTTGTTTTAGACGTGTCAAATACTCCAGCTGCTGAAGCAACTCAAGAAGAGCCAAAACAACCTGCTGCCATCTACAGTGACAGGCCTCCAACCCCTGAATTAGGTTGTCCAGGGAGAGTCATCAACTCGTAGGTAGAGCTTTTCTATGTTGTGTTTCTCTCCTATGGCTGCCTGCTATTATGCTTGAAGATCAGTCAGTCAAGGCTTAAGCCAGAGCTGTCCACCTGAGAGGCCACATGCAGTCTGCAGGGCTTGTCAGTAGGCCTGTGTGAATCAGTTTGGCCGAATCTCTGAATCAGCCAGGCCAGGCCTATCCCCCTCCTGCTCTCCCAAACCCTTTCCCCATCCCAGCCCTCCCCCATGGCTCCCCCACCTGCCGCGGCTCTGGCTCTTTAAGGAAAAAAAAACTCAAGAAAACGCCCCTGGACTCTCAGTTCCTGCTGGCACGGGGGGGGCCCC